CAGCATCATAAAAAGATAATGGAAAAACAGGTAACAACCATAAGAAACTGGGTAAAATAACAGGTATGCCATAATTAGGTTGAAGTACATTATTATCAGAAAACAGCTTGAGATTCCACTGAGATCAAATCTCTTGAAACATATAGTGTCTGAGTAGCTATTTCCTACTGCCCATCATTATTTCAGCATTAAAATAAATTGTTAGTATATATGGAATGAGTTTTCATGACGCTTGACTGGCTGCCACAAAAAGCAGCTTAGCCGCAGGGCAACGTTAAAATGAGACCCTGAGTACCCTGCAGTAGGAATAATTTAGCATCTGAGTAATTATCAGCAAATTTTGGGGATAAATATTAAAAGAGAAAGGAAGCCGGGCGCTGAATCCCAGAGGCTCATGAGGCTGAGGCAGGAGGATCATGAGTTCAAAACCAGCCTCAGCAAAAAGCAAGGTGCTAAGCAACTCAATGAGACCCTGTCTCTAAATAAAATATAAAAAAAGGTTGGGGATGTGGCTCAGTGGTTGAGTTCCCCAGAGTCCAATTCCTGGTAACAAAAAAAAAAAAAAAAAAAAAAAAAAGGAGAGAGAGAGAGAGAAACATATTGTACAAAATTCTATTGCTAGCAGCTGTGGAAGTTAAAAACTGATGGAGCAAATAGATACATGGAGACAGGTTTGTACATTTGATGTTCCTCCGTCTTTAATGTCTTCTTTGACTACCTTTTCTGGCTAACTCCTACTCAATCTTCAAAACCTATCTTGGGAAGCTGGGGTTGTAAGTTCAGCTGTATAGCACTCGTCTAGCGTGTGTGATGAACTGGGTTCAATCCTCAGCATCACATAAAAATAATAAATAAATAAATAAATGTCCATATGTGTGTGTGTGTGTGTGTGTGTGTGTGTGTGTGTGTGTGTGTATTTATATATATTCTAAATCCTATCCTGGATACCATAAATATCTTAACATACTTCTCTCTTTGTTCCATCTTTTAAAAACCAACTTCCCAACTGTACCCTACCCTATCCATATCTCCCAATTTATTTTCCTGCTTTACTTACATAGTCCTATAGTATCTTTTGTTTATATCTGTCATGATAGTTTATGATAAAATACAATGTATTACTATACTAAAATATTCATTTTTTGTTTATTTTTCCTCTAAGCTATCTCCTTTAGAAAATACTTGTCATACTGCCTAGTATTTAGAAGTCACAAAGTGATCACTGAATGAATGAATGAATGAATGAATGAATGAATGAATGAAAAAAAGAAAATGAAACTATCTAGGAGATTTCCCATTTGATCTATAGGTTTTGGCCCATAGGAAAAGGGCATATTAGACAGCAGCAAATGTAAAAATACAAAAGACAATGAGGAAACAATGTTTAGTGCACCTAAAAGCTGTTCCATGAACCCAGAAACTTCAATTTGTGTAATTCCATTGTGCATCTGATCTATGTGTCCCAAGTCTGAATTTATGACACAGTTTTAAAGCAAGGAATCACTTTAATTTAGCTTAAAAAAGAAAAAAAAATTCAGGAACCTTTGAAGGAACATTCTATAATCACTTTWCTATCTATTACATTTCCAGTTAACAAGGTTTATGAGAAAGTTGGCTTTCTAAGTTAAAATGTCAAAACAAATAAAAGTGCTCTGTCAAATCTTTATGTTCTTTTTCTTTTATTATTTCATGCTGGGTTTTTTTTTCTCCCTCTGTTCCATTAATTTATTTTCTCTGAGTTATTTTTTGCAATGCTTCTTTATATAATTTTAAGCAAAARTGTAACACATTTTCCCAATTACCTCATGCCCTTTTTAGGGTCAAGGTTCTGAGATTTATTAAAGTTAAGAAATGGATAAAGTGCACTGAGTTAAAGTGCACTCAGTTAAAGTTAACTGAGCACAAGACAGATTGGTTGGCAGAATCTCAAAGACCTAGGCATGTGGGGGGATGGTATGGGGGGAGGAGGCATAACTGCAAAGAAGGAAAAAGTGGTAGACTGAAAAAAAACAGAGACTTAGTGGATAAAAACAGATCAATTTCAACTTTGGATCAAACCTTAGTAACCAAAGGCCAAAAATGAAAACTGTTTACTAATCAGTTTTTGAACTTACATGTAGAAACTTACTTCTCCCTTAGAATGATGTCAGTTTGCAATGTGTAAATATTTAGTTTCAGTTTAAAATTGTATGCAGGAAGGGCAGTATATGCTTTGCCAGAATATGCCTAAATTTACAGTGAACAAGACCTGCCTTAGTACACCTCTCACTTTCCCACCATCTCTGAGGATGGTGTCTGTACCCCTGGTCACTCTCATCCCTCTCCTCTACATGGGAGCACTTGGTGTTCGAGAATTACTCTGTCCTTTTCTTATTCTTGTTACCATCCATTTCTACCTTCCCCCACTAAAATGGTAATAACATTGCCAGGTTATAATAATTCACAGGAAATTATGGAGGATAATTAAAGTATTGATTCAGAGTGTCTGTCATTCCATGTAAATTACAGATTGGTTGAATTTATGACAACATCAACTTGCAAAGAATTTCAGGAGAAGAGAAGATATTAAAGACAACTGAGATATTGCATGGGATTCCACTTTGTGTTCTAGTCATACAGGTAAAAACCCATATACCTATCTCTGATTATGTGGAGTTTGGGTGAATGGGGGATTTTATTTGTCACACCATTTGAGATAATATACTATCACTTTTTTTGGATAATAAAATGACATATAACACTTATATGTTTATCTTTATCAAGAGTAATTTTATTGATGTGTATTTAGTTTTTATATGATATATAATTTTTTTTGACATTAGGGTTAACTCAAGTTTTAAAATATCTTACACCTGAAACCAGTAGAGTTGTTTCTACTACAACATGGATGTGCTATTGCTCAATTCACCACCAGGAACTGATATCACATTTAAACAACATTGAAGAAAAGTAAAATACAAGTGAAACAAGCCAGCTGGAATTGATTATGCAAATGAAGAATTTAAATCACTATTATTGAATAATCATGGATACTGTGCTGCACTCCATTTTAATAATATTTCAAATTTCACTTTGTAATCATTTAAACAGTTCAATTTAACTTGGCCTTAATTCTTTATTTTGAAAAATTAGTTATAAAAAATAAAATAAATCTTCTTTACATGTTAAATGATATCTACATAAAACTTCAGCAAACAGTATGTAATGTAAAACATTAAAAGTATTCCCATAAAATATGAAAAGACAAAAATATTTATTTAAGGGAAAAGAAAGTTTGCTATGATTGGTAATATTCACATTCTTTTAGAACATTTGCAGATACAATAACACTTTATTTTCAAATTCAAATTATTGTATTTATATGTGCAAGAAAATTATATCTGCCTGGTTCTAAAAGTAGCCAAATTATGCTGTATACTTGTATGAATATACCACAATGAATCACTAATGAAAACATTAAATAAATAAATAAGCACATAAATACATAAAGTGTTTTTTTTAAGTCACTAGATATGGGTAAGGATATAACTCTGATAGAGAACTTTCCTTCCACTGCATGAAAGGCCTTAAGTTTAATTCCCAGTACTGAGGGGGGGAAAAAAGTTGCTGGATATTAGGTTTATGAGCTAAGAAGCAATAACATATTAGAGAATATAACTTAAAAAAAGGTTACAATAATCCAAAACATATTAACTTTTTAAAAAAAATTCCTAAAGAACATAACTGAAAAAAAAAATCTGCATTTATTTTCTAGATTGGAAAAACCTCAAAGGAGAATATTTCTGTAACATTTGCTAATACTCTTCAGGGGCTAGATACTATATTGTAGGCACTCAATCAAAATGTTTTAGATAAATAAAAAGTTGGGGAAATTATGAATGATATGTTATTCAATTGACATTGTAATGTTGCTCAAATACCTGTCACATAATCTAATTACCTATCATGAATTAGGAAAGCAAACTTCCTCTGAGGATAAAAATTTAATCTATTGGTAATTATAGGTAGAATTAAATTTAATTATAGGGGCTGGGGCTGTGTCTCAGTGGTAAGCACTTGCTTTGCATGGATGAGGCAATGGGTTCAATTCTCAGCACTACATAAAAATAAACAAATAAAGATATTGTGTCCATCTACAACTAAAAAGAATTTTAAAAAATTTAATTATCAATTCAGAATTTGTTTTACTATTATAAAAAAAAATCCTAGTGCTCACAGTTACTAATCCAAAAGAGTTCTCACAGAGAATATGCCTTATAGAAAACCATAGGAAAAAAGAAACCAAATGAAAAAGTTAAATGTGACAAATATTGTATATTCAATTGTGTTTCAAACTGATATGGTCTTCTCATTCTAATAATACAAGTAATCCTTTTCTACAAAACTTTTAAGGCCATGGTAAAATGATTTGTAAATTATTATTTTTTAGGAAGAGTTAAAATGATATCTGAAATAAATCCAATCATTATTGATTTGAAGGCTTTCTTTGATTATGTATATGTACATATCTCTTACTACTTTCACATAAAGCATTTTGATGAAGCTTGTAAACAAAAAGAGTAGATTGTATCTTATGTTAATTACATGGGAAATGATCATACCAAATTAGTTTTCAGAAACACTTATTGAAACAGTTTCTTAAATTATACATGAAATAGAATTATGAATAGTCAAGTATGCCATTCAAATAAGGTAATTACATTTTTAAAAAATATTTATTTTAGTTGTAGATGAACACACAATATCTTTATTTGTTTTTATGTGGTGCTGAGGATTGAACCCAGTGCCTCACACATGAGAGGCAAGCACTTTACCACTGAGCTACAGCCCCAGCCCAAGTAATTACATTTTTAATGTATAAAATGTTAAAAGCCAAACACTGAGCTACAACTACTAATTAAATCACATTTTCTAGACTAAATTTTAATTATGTGAAAACAACATCAGCAAATGTTTCCTAAGACACTTATGAGGAAAAAGCTTTTTTGTTTTCATCTTACCTTCTGCTGTACAAACAGTCCACAATATCAACCAAATAATCTTTGCAGGCAATCTCATGTTTCGAATCTTTTAAGGGCACATTTATTAGCTGAGAGTGCTCACAGGGTCCAGTTCACCTCTGCTAAAAATCGCAATCAGTACAGGAAAGTACCTTCTAAAGGAAGTTGAAAGAGCTTGGGAAATAGGGATTACTAGATGCTCCACCCACCAGAAACTTTCGCAAAGCAAAGGAGGAGAAGAAAAAAAAAAAACCTACTAATCCTAGCATCACCAGAACTTGGTCAGGATTCTTACTGCACTCCCACTGAATGCTAATGCTGTGAACTTTCTTTGATTTGTTCTGGAAAAGGAAGGCATGTTCTCTATAGGAACAAGCTCAGGTCTCCTGGAATGTAGAAGCAGCAGTGGGTTATCACCTCCTGGGATTTCATAAACTCTCCAGTAATCCAACTCTGTTCAGTTCTATTGCATGTAAATCAAGGAACAGGAAGTAATGTAATAATGTCTTTTTAAAACCATTTACAGAACTTCAGTTGAGGCAGCGGTTTCTCAATCAACTCCCAGACAACATAAGCAAACAAGGTAGTCCTGTCTGATAAGGGGAGCTTGCTTTACCAGCAATTTGTGAAATCAGTCTTTAAAGACTTTTTAATATGCATGCGTGAAGCAACTGGTTCACTCTGACATAAATGAGTTTAATCATTCAAGAAAAATTGAAATGTTGTTTTTTAAAAACCTTGATAGTGAAGTGTAATGTGCATAAAGAGAATAAGAGCAAATGATTTGCTGAATATTAATGTGAAAACACAAAACCGCCATCAAGGTCAAATCACTGAACTTCACTATCTCCCGAAAACTTCAATACTGCCTTTCAGTCAGTGCCCCTTGCCCTCTGTCCTCCTGGTCCTCCATGTGGGATGAACACTATCAGGATCTCTTAAGAACATGGGATATATTTACCTGGTTTTAGTACTTTATATAAACGGAAAATAAGCTATTTGCTCTTGTGTTTAGTCTTTCACAATGTTTGGGATAGTCAACTACATTTTTGGATATAGATACAGATTATTAATTCTATACAATATCCATTGTTTGAAATATTCACCATTTTTAATTTATCGGTATGTTTGTTAATGGGTCTGTGGCTAGATTCTAGTTTGGAGCTAACACAAATAGTGTTGTTATGAACATTAAATTATGTGGGTTTTGGTAAAATTGTGTCCACATTTCCAGAGAGTACCTAGTTAGGAGTGGACCATTAGGCCACAACTTATGTTTAGGTGTGGTAGATAATATCAGACAGTTTTCCAAACTGGTTATACCAACTGGCATTACCTTCATTCAATCTTTGTAATTTTAGCCTTTTTAGTGACCATAAAGCAACAATTCTCTATGATTTTAACATAGAACAACTTCTAGGAATACTTCTACTATGCCTGAGCCAAATCAGTTGATGTTATGATGCATAGATATAAATAAGGTCTAAAGATGTAGAATATATGAATATTCCAAATTGCCTGGCACAAGGTATTTATGGGTATTGAAGGATGAATATGATTTTTTAAATCTCACTGGATTTTAAAATTTTAAGAGGATTTTAAGAGGATCATTCATTTTAATTGATTCCTAGTAAGAATGGAAGTTTATTCCTGTCATGAATAACATATTGGTATCAATGAAGTTACCATAAACTCATGTCTTCAAAATGAGAACATTGACAACAAACTAGTTTAAATGTCTCAAAATCCAAGGGAATTACATTAACCATATCACAAGAACTCTTTCAAAGCCCTAAAATTTTGCTATCCATTATATCAAGGACACTTGCCAGAATTTTTTTCTAAAATTTGACAACAATCCTAAAAATTTATTGACATTGTAAATCATGAGTGGTTAATCTGTAGTGATTTTTACAATATTACAATAAAAAGTAACAAAATTTTAATGAAACATGCTAGAGGAAAGTCTGGATAATTTTTTTATTTTATCTACATTGAAAAATTTGTAAAATTGGGTTATATGAAGAAATGCTTGGGCATTCAGTCAATCAATATAAAAATTAAAAGTATCATAGAATTTATTGTATAATTAAAATGCATATCATGTTTCCTATTTTTATAATGTCTTTTCTGTTTGTCAACTCTTTAATACAAATATTTATTTTCATACCTATTTTTGTCCAAATTGTAGTCTTAGGAGGTCTTTCCAAATTGTATATTGCATATAAAAATCTCCTGATCTTCCCCAATTACAGCATAGTACTAAAAGTAACAGATACTTTGAAATTTTCAGTACGTAAGACTCTTTATAAAAAGTCCTAAAGACATATTTTGAAGGAAAATATTCTATGCCTCTGGTGCCTCCTGAAACTAATCACTACATAGAAATATTTTTTCTATTAGTTTGAGATGGGCAATTGGTAGCTCTCACTTCTGAATTAGTGTCCATAATGACAGTGTCAAACCACTTATTACGATTTAAATATAAATTAACTACAATAACATTTAATGAAAAATCCAGTTTTTTACTTCTTGCCAACATTGAACATAGGGACTAGGTTCACCATTCTACTTGAGACAACTAAAAACCACTGAAAAACTGACAAAATATGTATTTTGGATGCAAACCCTTTTACAAATGGTTGGCAAACATTTTCTTCCATATGCAAAATAACCATACAAGAGACACAAATACTTTTTTCTTTAGAGTCACTGTGAAGGCTTCTCTGACCTTAAGGGTCAGCAGGAAGAGATACAGAGCACACACACTGACCACTTTTATTGAGGAGAATTTATTCAAATGAGGCAAGGATTCAGGTTTCAGGGGGCTGAGTCTATCTTCATGATGTCCACTGTCAGCAGGTTGACTGACATCTAGGTAGGCTACACCCAAGGGCACAGTAAAGAGAAGGAGACACACACAAAGCACTTCCATGGACCATTCTATCCTAAACAGGGCAAGGGGTAATATTACAAAGGAACAGGTGAGCATAGCTCCACCCATGGGGCTATAGGAAGACAGATGGGAAGACACAGTCACTGGAACCCTAGAAGAGCAGGGCAGTCTAGCAGCATGTGTGCCTGATGCTGCATCGCCCAGCAGGGGAGTTAACTCAGTCACTTGTGAGGTTAGTCTCCCACACATGTCAGCAAGAGACAATTTCACTTCTTCCTTTCCAATAGGGATGCCTTTTATTTCTTTCTTGCTCCATCAAGACCCTCCATCACTATGTAGAAAACAAATGGTGCAAATTAATGTGCTTTTCTTTGTCACTGCTCTTGGAGAAAAAGTTTTCAACTTTTCCTCAATTTAGCATGGTGCAAACTGTAAGTTTGTCCCATAAATTCCTTCTATTCCTAATGTATTAAAAGATTTTATTATGAAAGAATAATGAATTTTGTCAAAAACTTTCTGCCTCTTTTAAGATGTTAATGTAATATTTTGGCCTTTATTTGATTAATGTGATATATCACATTCTTGTTTTGCATGTACTATACCATCCTTGATTCCCATGATTAACCATACATAATCATGGTGAATAATTTTTTTAATGTGTTGTTGAATTCAGTTTGGTAGTATTTCACTGAAGATTTACATAGATGTATATATGTTCATCAGTGATTCTGGCATATGATCTTAGAGTTTCTGTATGGTTTTAGTATCAGGGTCATGTTGGCCTTGGAAAATGACTTTTTAAATTCTCCTTTTCTTCAATTGCTTGGAGTTTGAGAAGAATTAGTRTTCTTCTTTAGACACTTAGTAAAATTCAGCTGTGAATCCATCAGAATTTTTTTTTAGTGGGATACTTTTTAAATTATTGATTCCATCTCCTAGTCACTTCTGATCTATTCAGATTTTCCTTAATGATTCAGTTTTGGTAGGTTGTGTGTGTTTGGAGATATAACCATGGCTTAGGTTATCCAAACTGTTGGATATGTAATTGCACTTATAACCTCCTATAACCTTTTATATTTCTCTGTAATCAGTTGTAATTCCCCCTTTTCATATCTGACTTTGAAGAAAACTTGAGTCTTTTCTGTTTCACTGCCTGGTTAATCATTGTTAATTGTTTATCTTTTTATAATCTTTCTATTGTTTTACATATCTATTGTCATTTATTCCACACTTTTTAAATTAAATTATTTGTTTTAATTTGTTATACTAATGACAAAATGCAAGGCATTTCATATTAAACATAGATTACAGTTTTTTAAGTCACTGTCCACAAAGTATTTTTACATCATTTTTGTCTTTATACATATACTTAGGGTAAGGATGTCTAGCTCATTCCACCATCATTCCTACCTCCTTGCCCCCTTCTTTCCCCTCCCTCTTCTTTGCCCTATCTAAAGGTCCTCCATTCCTCCCATACTCCCCACCCTATTGCCAAAATGAGTCAGCATCCTCATATCAAAGAAAACATCCTGCCTTTGGTTTTCTGGGATTGGCTTACTTTAGTTAGCATTATATTCTCTAACTCCATCCATTTACCTGCAAATGCCATGATTTTATTCTCTTTTATTGCTGAATAATATACCATTGTGTATATATGCCACTTTTTTATCCATTCATCTATTGAAGGGCATCTGGGTTGGTTCCACAATTTATCTATTGTGAATTCTGCTGCTATAAACATTGATGTGGATGTGTCCCTGTAGTATGCTTTTTTAAAGTCCTTTGGGTATAGACTGAGGAGAGGAATAGCTGGGTCAAATGGTGGTTCCATTCCCAGTTTTACAAGTATTTCCCACACTGCTTTCCATATTGGCTCAATAAATTTGCAGTCCCATCAGCAATGTATGAGTGTGCCTTTCTTCCCACATCCTTGCCAACATTTATTGTTGTTTGTATTCTTAATAGCTGCCATTCTGACTGGAGTGAGATGAAATCTTAGAGTACTTTTGATTTGCATTTCTCTAATTGCTAGAGATGTT